TCTAAACTGGTATTGCCATGAATAGCTTTTCTTAAGATGTTGAGGAATTCAACATGCTGTTGGGAACATTGGTTGTGTGAAAACAAGTATAGGCCACATGCCAATTATAATTATGAAGAACTGGATGACATTTAGGACCATCCAACATAGGATTCTTGGAGTTGGCAAATAATAAGGCTTATTAGTTTTCTTCAAAGGAAGGTCTAAGTTGTCCTGTCCTGTTGTGTGTTCAGTCATTGTTTTTATACTCCATTAAAGATTTTTTTACATATTTTGGATCTATATCCCTGTTATTGTTTCCATAGAGATGCTACCTTCTATATTAATTAATGGTTAAAATTGAAGAGTATAATATTAGTATACAGTGAAAAGTGGCATATCAATGGGGAAAGTGTGTCAGGGCACAGCTATCATTGATCCTTGTTATATGGAATTGGGATAGCCCGCTTCTGTCTCTCTCTGCCTTCGCTCATTGTCACCATTCCCTTCCCTTCTTTGGGTTTGAATAGAAAGTTGGGGGAATTGAGGAACTGCAATGGCACGTGATGCCCATTAGGAATGAAGAGAAATTTATCATAGTACTGGTAAATGCAGTAAAGATCAGAAAGAAGAAATAAATAAATAAATGGAAAGGACTTTTGTGACTGAAATTATTACACCTAGCACTTTGAAAGGAGAAAATTCATGTTCATTTAAAGTGGTTTGAAGATTCTCTCCGTATGGTGATTTGATTGACTCCTATTAATGTCATGTGTGATTTTTACTACAATCTTTGATAAAGGTTCCTGAGAAGATTATTTTAGTTGTTCATTATTGTTAATATTACTTTAATTGTATGTAAATAGCCTAGCAATAGTTTTAATAGTTCTTTAGTTTATAATTTTCAAAAGTTATTTTTCACCCTGTTTGTTCGATTATATGAACGCTTTTATCTGCGAAGTTACAAGTTCTTCCCAAAATCTAAAATTATATTTACAGGCTTATCATAGATCAGTTAAAATTGCTAACTCAAATTTAGTTCAAAATATTTTTATAAATAAGTAATGAATGATAAGTTGATTTTCTCAAGCATTTTTATGAATATGATGAATAAATAGCTTATTATTATTATTTGTGTATATACAAAAGCTGGGAAGGTATAATAATGTACGGTAGAACCATATCCATCCAACGAAACTCAATAGTAACAGCTTCTTATTGGTTACCGACAATTACAACATGCCAAGCCAGTCAGTTTGTACTTAGTAATTCCCTTTATCATTTTGTTCACCATATATATGCGCATATATAAATTAAATAAACATTATGAAAGTTAAATAAATTGAAATTATATGTTTATATAGTGATCTGATTTGTAGTTAATTTGCTATTTTTGATACCACCAATATAACCTGGTTGTTGAATTTATTTCTTAATTTGAAAACATAATGGACTCAGTTTTATTACTTCAAATTAAACTCCACTTTGTATAAAATAAAATAAAATGCCTTTACCAACAACCAAATAATATCAACTTGGAAAATAAACTTAACAGCAAAGGGCCATTGAGTCCTTCAACACCAATCAAGTTCCAATCGCAGATGATTCTGTTCTGTGAGTGTAAAGACAAGCCACACAATAAAAATTAAAACATAATAATTATTTTCAGGTATATTTACGAACATAATAGTATGAAATTATTGATCTCTGAGCCCCCCCTTATTTTCAAACCTATTATATGCTATAATGATTGTTCCTTCTTTGTGACAAATCCCATTTCTTAAAAATTTAGGCTGTTTGCTTATAGTGCTGTCTGAATCACGGTCCATATCATGAGGCCACTCAAAACCACTATATATGATTGACAAATGACAATTAACACAACAGTCACTGGACACTGTAATGATTAACATAATTAGGTTATCTATGTCATTTTCCCCCCTAAATTTTAATTTTCAAAGGTAATACAAAAAATTACTAAATAAGGTGTCCACAAATTCTTTTCTAGGAGGCAATCAAAGATGCTGTTGTGATATTAATGTCATTGTTTAGTTTGTAATTTTATTTTGGACACAATAACACCACTTTTACTTTTCTTTCTGTTTCTTTTCTTTCTTTAGGTAAAGTACTTTTCCAAATTTAGAAAGAGAAATTATGAACTCAATCTTACTGCCACTTTGCTGATTGAGTTACGTCTAAGTAGCATAAGTAACTCTTAATAGTTTTCTGTTTTTCTTACAAATTGTACACGCTGTAATGATGTGAGTTCAGATGATTCTTTTACTTTTTACCAGATTCCAGTGCAACAACACAATAATGTCAGAAATTTATGCATAATTGCCAAAAAAAACTTGCAGATAAAATTATTCATTCTGAAGGAGCCATGCCTCAATTATTCTCTTTTAATGTCAAATCAAATAAATAGCATTTTAATTTTGAATAAACAATTATGTGAACAACATTACTCCTCTCATCAAAATAAATATTTGATAATTTGGGTGCTCATAGACCATAGGATTAAGGCTAGCATGTAGCAAATGTGTCAGCTCCACATCAGCAGGAAGCAAGTTCACTATTTGTTTTACTTATTGGAGCAGAAAAGGTACATGTTTAATGGGCCAGATGGGTCCCTCTGTACCCTGATTCGTTGAAAAGCTTTCCAGAATTAGGACAATGGCCCAGAATGATTGACTTTTGATGGGCCAATAATGGGTCCATCATTGGAGGCCCATATTTCCACTAGTTGTTACGATTCTTGGGAAGTACTCTGAAGCTCTTACACCATTTCATTGGTTGAGATTGAATGATACCCAAATAAGATGATTTTAATATTAAAATAAAAGGAAGAAGAAGCTTGACTTCAACGAAAGGTGACACCCCTTTTTTATAGTGAAAAGATGTGAAAAATAAATTTCCAAGTTCAAGTCTCCACTAAGGCACACATAATGGGGTCCAATTTTTTATGCTTTAGGTACACCCATTCTGTGTCAGTAATATTCATTCATCAATGTTATTTGCCATTTATTATTTAGTTCTTGCCTTTTCAAACATGGAGGGGCTAGTAACACTGGCAAATCAAGGAGCAAGAAGTTCTTATCACCTCTGATATTGTATCCAACTTATAGTAAACACAAATTATTGCATGGATCTTTTTCTTTTGATTGATCAAGAATATCAATTAGGCTAGTTTTCTAAAACATAACGATTGATGCAATTTATTTAATAGGAAAAGAGTGTTGGTTGTTGAAAATGTGTGCAAAAATTTAGAATTCAATTTTGCTTTTTATAGAATAGGAGAAAAAATTGAAAAATGCGAAAAGGACCTCTGACGTTACCTGAAACACAAAATAATGGAATAGGCTGTATATTGAAGATCCACCGCAAATGTTTAATCAGTAACATAAATAAGTTCGAAATGCATCCTTTGCCGAGAAAGCAAGAGAGTTGGAATTCAATGAAAGTAAATCTAGATTCCTAGGAAATGTTTGATATTATTCTTAAATGTCTATTGTTGCTTCTATTTAAGTGATTTTTACTTGAATATTACTTAACTGATAATAGACTATTAATATAAGTAAAGATAGATACATTCGAGTATTAATAGTAGTTAAAGACATTTGCTATTTACCACTATTTTTGTACTTAAATTGTACCTTACTTTTTTAGTACAACAATTTTAAGATAAACAACTTGTATTTATCTCATCTTAAGAATATGAACGATGACTTAAACACGTGACTTGTCAGATACAAGATATATACACCATACTCTTTAGTCGACAAAATTCAAAATAAATGAATTCCAACTCTTGCTAAAGTCCTTGTAAAGTATAGTGAACAACCTATTAAGTTTTCAATTTAGAAATATCTTTTATTGAGATTAAAACAAGATTAAGAAAGATCATAAAAAAGTCATTTCTCGTTTAATACACTTTTTATGATTGATTTATTTTTTAAATAGGTACTTTGATTTTTAAAAGAACAGACTAATCACAAAAAAAGGTGATTAAAAAAAGTGTATTAGCGTCATGAATCTCATGATAACATTCCTCTTCTCTTCTAATCATATTTGTTGTGGAGGTTATCTATGTTGTAATTGGTATTGTAAAATATATGTAATATATTCTCTCAGATTTTATTGTATCATTATTTTTTAATCTAACATATATAAATTAAAGATCCATTTTTTAATGCATTAATTATTAAATTATTATACTCTTGTTTATTATGAGATTTATATTATTAAAACACTCATTCATTACTCTTATAACTTAATATATTTATTCATTTATTGTATAAGATACCAATTTGACCATTTCTTAGTATACATATTTTTGAAAGAGATTATTAATCTATCAAATAATTACTTTTTATTAATCTTGATAATTAACTACTTATTTCGTATTAAAAAAAAACAGGAGAAAGTATATAAGAAGAAAAAAAGCTTGACTATTCCATTTGAGTTAAAATTTGATTACAATGATACAGATTACAGTTCACGCAATTTGTTCCATGGGATTAAATTACGTTTATAGATTGTGATTTTTTACATTATAGCCATGTTTATTTTAGCGCTGCCATTTCTGATATGCAAAAAAAACAGAGAGAATATTATTATCTGAAGGCATTTATGATTTATGTTCTCAAAGTTATATATTTTTGTCCTCTCTGCCATGGAGGATACTTCTTGCTCTAATCATATTTTCCACCATTCTCTTTGGTAAAACCTTACTCCATCCATAACACGAAAGAGATTCAATTGATATATACATTTCGAGTTGCATATTTCAATTCCCATTGTAGAATTGATGAGGGAAGTATAAACGCAAGGCTTGATGATAAACCACAAACCCTTAATTACCACAATAAGGCCCATTTCTTGACGCTATAAAAAAGAATGACATTAAAATTGGGAAATTAGTGAAGTTAAATGATATCATCATCCGTAAAGTCTGTATTTTCTCATGCTCTATATAAACTATAAAGCCTTCCTCCCTAAGGAAGGTAGGAAGAAAATGGGAAGAGAATATAAGGGAAAATTGTCAGGAAAATTTGTGTGTGTGTCTGTGTCTGTGAAAATAGAAAGAAAGCAAAACGCATCAATTTGTCTTCTGTCGTGAAGAAATATGAATGAGAAGGAGAAAGATCAATGAATAGAAAAGGATTGCAATGGTAGCTGCTCAAGGCAGTAAGGCATGACAAGAGCAAGCAGTTCACCTTCATAGCTTACTTGGCTTCATAACTAAACGGACAAATACTATTCATCAGATTCCACAGTTGCACTCTGAGTACAGCTTTCCATTTGATGGAGTTCCAACATTTTCTTTTCTGGATTACAGAGACCTACAGGTAAACAATTATGGGATCATTAGAAAAAATAATTTCTTTTAATTAAAACACGCAAGATATATTTGACCAAACATAATTACATGCTCACTAAAGATCTAATCATACACTACTCTTTGTAAAAGAACATCACCCCCTAAAAAAATCCTATATTATGGATCAGATCATATTCGATCTTTAAACATGTGAAGGATCATTTTTAAATTTTATGAATGCATAGCCTGCCTAGCTGTTAGGCATGTGACCATTTACTTGGACAACTGCAAACTTAGCAATGCATTCCTTTTACTCTCAAATATCACTATTTAAAAAAAATCACCTAAATGGGACAGAAATATACAAGATGACATTGAGAAACTTGAAGTAAAAATCATCTATGATGTAGTCAAGTGCATGTATTTCATGCAATTTTCAGAATATCCAAGGGAATGTTATCATACCTACTCCTAAAGTCTAATACTAATATTTTGGGTTAGGAAAAACACCAACCTGAACATTTTGGAATATCCCACACAGCAATTGATGTGGATGTACACTCTGGAGCACAAAGTTCATGATTATTCTCATGGTTGACATTCATTGCAAGCATCCAAGCTCCAATGGTTACATCCTCATTGCTGAACATCCGGAAACTGTGATTGAAAATAAAAAAACAACGTAAATATTGCATTCAAAATAATAGGAATTGGGAAGGGGTAGGAACTGAACAACGTCCATGTCATCATGTTTATCCACCACGACCTTCTTGCTTTTGTGGCAAGAGAAAAAAAAGAAACACATTTTAAGATTTGTAGAACTAATCTTTTAGGTCCAAAGTATAATGTTGTATGAATTGAATGAAGAAAAAGACACCAAGAAATCATCTCAGCTCATACCTCCAAACAATTTAATGATTCATTTGACGATGTTACTGAAAGAACTAAGAAGAACCATGAACAACTTCGATGACTATTAGATAATGAAACCATTTAATGATGATAATTATAAAGAATTAATGATAACCTCTTTACAAAATTAAACCATGAACCTTAGGACTGCAAAATCGCTGCCTCTTTTGCAAGAGTAAACTATGAGGTCACATGGCACAGACATATCTTCCATAATAATAATAATAATAATAATAGCAAATTTTCAAATCTACTTTGATCAGCAAAACAACTTGACATGAATAAACATAATATTTTAGGACTATCAGGTTTTGTTTTTCATCAGGAACAACCATAGAAACTATTGAGATTCTAGGGTTTTAGGTATAGAGGAAGGAAAAGGAGATAAAATAGAAAGAATACATTGAGACTGATTTGATATGATGTGTGACAATATGACACAAAACATAAAGCATTAACCCTTATTTAAATTCATGAAATATAGGAAATATGGAAACTAATCCTAAAAGATAATTTTAGACATTCTAAATTATTCCAAGATACACACAAGAAATAATTAGACATTCGTGTATTTTAACCAAAACCAAAGCAGATGGTCTATAAATCCACCACTCAGACACATTTCTGATGAAGATATTAAACAGACAGTATTCAACCCAAACCTGTGAATGAATATGCAAAACCCAAGAAATAAAATAGAGGAAAAGAAGATATGCAGCAGGCCAAGAAATCAATATTATCACATTGATCTACAAAAATGAATAAACAAAATATCTAACACCTAAAGATCAACAAGTGCATCAAGTATTACTACAAGTATTGCTAACAGAATAACGGATGCATGTGACTATTTGTGAACCTACTGTTATCACATTGATCTAAACCATAAACCCTAATATTATCACATTGATCTAAACAAATGAATAAAAAAAATATCTAACACCTAAATATCAACAAGTGCATCAAGTATTACTACAACTATTGCTAACAGATGCATGTGATTATTTGTGAACCTATTGTTATTGAAGGTCAAGTGACAAAGCAATAAGTTAAAGGAAAAAGGAAAACTTGCCTGTTATTCCTAAGAGCTACCAAGCTTGATACAACATCAGCAGAAAGAGCATAGATAGGACCATAAGCATGAAGAAAATATTCCTTTCCAAGCAAATTAGCTAGTGGCTCATACCTGCAAGATTTCTCAGTATAATTACTCCAAAAGGCAAACAAGTGGGGTGACCAGATATCACACAGCATAAAATTTTCAGCCCAAGAAAAATGGAGGTAAAACAATTTAGGTCACCAACAAAGTTGAGAAATTCTCAATTTGATCCCTAAGGTATGTTTGCATGGTTGGAAGTGAAGAAAGGAAAGAAATCAAAAGAAAAAGATAGAAAAGAGATGGGGAAGGAGGAATGAAAGGTTAAATAATGACTCCCTTTCCCATTGTTTGGTTGTTTAAAATCCTTATATTTGAGGAACTTTAAAATGTCCATATAAATAACTAATGGAGGACCTTAGAGGACAGTCATTCATTTTCTTCCCTTCATTTTATAAACATCAAGACACATGGAAGGCTTACTTAAAGCGTTCCCATCTCTACCCTTTTTCTTGTTCCTCTTCCATCAAAACATGCCCCAAAAACCTGCTATGGGCAATCCAGTCCATCAAAGGCCTAAAATTGCTTAATCCAGTCCCTTAATGAAATGGTGATAATTTTTCATCTCAGCATACATGACACTGCCACTTTTTTGAGACTAGAATAGATATATTTATATTTATTTGAATTTGATTCTCAAAAATCAATGTAATAAGGTACACCTAAAGTTCACATAGTTTAATAATATCCTCTTTCAATTAGATCCTAGCTGAATTAGTACATTTATTTTAATTCAACCACAGTTGAAATCACTGATCCTCATATATAGAGCATACACACATGCAAACTTCAAATCTGTAGTCTCACTCTCCTCCCTGCTTCTTAGAAAAGTTTGTTACCACCAAAAAAACTACATATAGATTGAGTAAGAATTTGAATCTTTAAAAGCAGTTGAGTTAAAAAAAAAAGGAAAGGAAAATTTTAGGCAGATGCATATAATTAAAATTTAATTCTGCTTGCAAAGTTTACTAACAGACATTTGACCTCTCAAGCTAGTAACTATTGATTTGTAAATTGCACAAGTAATATTAGTAATCTATTTTTCTTTTCTAGAAAGAAAGTCAAGTCAAGATGGCAACTGACTAGTCCTAATATTTATCTCATGCCATGATAGAACCATTTTAATAATGGAATATTTTATCAACATCCCAACAAAAAGTGACATGATAAAAGGTGTAGAATAGGGAAAATTGAGCCATGACAGGAAAAATAAAATTTTGATATAAAATACACTTAATCTAAACAAAACTAACCATTTGAGTTTTGGATCAGTGAAAACAGGTCCCTTTTTCATGCATCCTATGTAAGTCTGAGGATGAGATCGCTCTTTTGCCAGTAGTAATGAAAGACGATCTAACATATTGAACATGATTGCATAAATCCCAATTATATGGATAATTATTAATCTCATAAACAAAATTTATCACCATATTTAACCAAGTAAATCCCTGAAAAATATGGCACCTGGCCTTAAATATATGTCATCATCAGCTTTGACATAAAAGTCGGCTTCAAAGAGTGCATAAGCAGCTTTGAAGAAAGCCAATCTGTAATAAATGACCAAACTCCTGTTAACAACACATTATAGACATAAAGTACAACAGTTTAGTAATTCTCAGCACACACGTTTTGTACGGGAGCTTACTGTACTCCTCTTCAATATCCAATTGAATGAAATCATCATATTGTGCTATTTCCTTCTGAAGTGCAGACATCTTTGATCTATCACCGGTTCTACCAATAACAAACCTAAAAGCCAAGCCGGTGGCTTCTTCCAAGCTGCAAGAAACAGCACCAAGCACATTAAATTACATCACTTTCAGACACATTCCCTCAAAATACCCTACCCACCAGCAAAACAAACAACACCCTTTGAGCATTATACTGTTAGCTACATATCAAGTTTTGAAATTGCATATGCAACTGCAACAAAGACCGCTGAATCATGGTCTTGGAGGGTATGCAACTACATCATGATTGCAATTGCAGCCGCATCAGCTCACAATTCTCGTAGCCACACAATAACCACAGCTACAATTTAAAGCCTTGATATTGTAGCAAGCAGTATACACAAATTGCCCAAAATATTTAGTTTGTTTCGTCTCGTCTAAACTAAGTCACATAAATACAGAGAAGAACCTAGCATCAATCACAACAGTTATGCAGCAAATCATTCACATTTCTGAAAACCCCAAAATTGAAAAATATCAATAATTAGACACCAAAGATGAATACCGTTGGAGTCCAAGTGGATCAGAAGGACCTAGCGTCAATCACAACAGTTATGCAACAAATCATTCACATTTCTGAAAACTCCAAAATTGAAAAATATCAATAATTAGACACCAAAGATTAATACCGTTGGAGTCCAAGTGGATCAGAAGGAAACCAAGTGTTCCTCAAAGATTGGCGCCTACCCGCAGATCCAAACCCAGTTTGAATGCCCACAAAGGCCATAACTTTATGCCTAATTTCAACTTGGGAAGTGCTTTGGGTGGAGGAGGCATGGTCCCAGAGCACTCTAACCGATCTGGGTTTGCTGTTGAGGCAGTGAGAGGTGGGAACGGGTCTGAGAAAAGCGAAGAAGAAAGCGAAGAGGAAGAGGACGAGGCATAAGAGGATGAAGAAGGAGGATCTGCGTGATTTGAACAATGGTGGAGGGCGCCTGAGGAAGGACTTTGGAGAAGAAGAAGGCATGGCTTCAACGAGAGTACCCCAGAACTGGAAGAAGCTCTGGGTGGGTGAGAATGGAGTTTGGGGTCATTGGGGCATTGCTCCGAAGAAGAAAGAGAATGGTTATAGCGTGTGGGGAGTGTGGTGGGAGGGAGTGAAGGTGATGGGTATAGTTCAGCTGAAGAAAGAGAGAGAGAGAATTGGTTGAGTGTGGAAGATGATGAACTGAAAGAAAGTGATCGTCTGGTTGATACTTAGCTAGCAAGCATCTGTTATTGACAGTTATGTTCTCCTCCATCTCCCATCCCTCTTACATTAGTATATCAAATTAAACCATGAAATTACGAGCGAGGGTGATCAAAATATATTCAAAGATGAATTTTTATTCTAATTCTTAAAAGATATAAATCTTAGTTAGTGTAATTTTGAATTTATAACTTTCTAACAATTGATTTTTTTAAAAAAAATTGCATTCATTAATAAAAAGTCTATTTAGATTAAAAAATAAATTCACCAGATAATCTCTTGAAGTTGTCATATATATTAGTTTTTGTTACAAGATATCATGTGTTTGTAAATAAGCGGTGCATCGATCGGTGAATTAGCATTTTGCATGCAAAATTTATTTTAAAATTAATGAAAGGTTCAAATTTATTAACCTTAATAATATCAATTTTTGTTATTTTACAATTTAATTCTCAAATAAAAATTGTATATGGAAATGTTCTATTTCTGAAAGGGAATGTAATGACTTTGTTGTAGTGCTTTCAATGTCAATTGATTAAAGAGAGTTTGTATTAATTTTAAACTCGTGAATGAGTGTAAACAATGAATTGCTCTTAAGATGATTTTGGGATAATTTACAATAAAAATTCATTTGAAGTTATTTATAAAATAATTGGTTTTTTTTTTCGTGACGTAGAAATTGTATTAGTTCCAATGAAGGGTTGAATTACGTGGAGGAAGTAATGAGTGACGAATGTGAAGTAGCTTAATCCATGGTCCAATTGTTAGAACCAACTCAAATCACTCCCATGTATTCTGAGGAATCCAATAAAATGTTCATGAACCATTCTTGATCACCAACTTGACATTGCCGAATGAATTGGACCATTTTTTATTTTAACTTTTTCATTCTCGTCTTCCTTCTCTCTCACCCACGCTTAATTTATTTCGAATTCAAATCCAACCCAAACAAATTGACTTGGACCTCAATATGACAGTAGGGAGGAGCAAGGTGCAGCAGCAGCGTTGAGCAACTAGCAGTGGTGGCGTAAAGAAACAACAGTAACAGCAATGAGCAACAACCCAGAAAGTTGTAAATGGAGAAGAAAAAACAAGCAATGACCAAAATTTGAGACCACTTGGAGAAATAGAATACTCACTAAACGGACTTAACAATAAAATGTAAAATTTCATTAACCTTCAACACAGGTCAACTTACTAATTCACTTGTACACCATATAAGCCTTTTAATTTGCCGTAGCTTTTATCTTAATTTCTTACTTATTTAAATTATTTCGTTAGTCTTTTGTAAAGAAATTTAAGTCTTCGTGTAGTTAAAAAATATTTTTACTGTTAAGTAACACACATGTTAAAACAAGTAGGACGGCCAAAAACCTCACCTCTCTCTCTCTTTTTACCCTTTCTTTGGAGTCACGTCATTGTAGCTCAATCTATTGTTGTGATAAGCAATTCTGTCCTGCCTCTTCTCTCTTTGTTTCTGTCATCTTACTCACCTACCATCAAAATCTAAAACATAGAAACATCATCTAGTTACTAAGAGCTTACAAATTGTCGGCATAAAAACAATGTTCATGTCATCCTCCTCAATCCACAATTTCTAAGAGCTTGTAAGTTGTAGGGCCAAAATTGTTGTTCCCATCATTTTCCTCAAACCCTTCCACCACAAACTGAATACACATAAACTATTCATGAACCGTAGTAGATCTTTTTCTTCCATAGACGTGAATCATTGAGCCGGTCATGAACCGCCATTGAAAAAGAGAAGAGCGAGTTACAACCATGGTTCTAATGTCATGATCGATTTGGAAAGAGAGAGAGAGATGGATAGGATATTGGGACAGGATGACGGTGTAAGAGGTAATTTTAGTAGAGAAAGAATAACAAAGAGAGAGTAAAATGTCGTAGCTGTGAGAGGAAACATTAGAGATGGGAGTAATAATAACATGTAAAATCATGAGATTAGTCTCCAATTTAATGTGAAACTAATAATTTTAACTTTTGTTTGTCACTTGATGAAAATAGTTAATATTATTCAACTCTTAGTTTAGATAAAGAACTTACCATGTAAGTAACTAACGTGATAGTTTAATTAAGTAAATGAATAATATAGTTTAGTATCATTTGATTGGAATGAAATTTGGAGTGATTTACTCTAATAATAAAGACAGCGTATCCAAGAAAAAAGCGATACAGTGGAGGGAGCTTCTAACTGTGTAATACCTCTAATATTCTACAATAAAATGCGTAAAATTGAGAAAAAAGCACCATAGGATGCTGCCTTGTATTACATTTACATAACAATAATAAAAGAAATCAACCTAAGCAATTGGCTCAATTAGTGGCAAAATGCATGAATTGTGCATAAGATTTAATATTATACTGCACTGTGACTAACTTGAATGGAGTAACTCAGCTAGCTACTAATCGACGAGAGTGGAATTTCTAAAAATGCAAAGAAAATAAAAATTTCAGCGAAACAAAAAGGCTTTTTTGCTAACACGGGGTTAAAGGAGAAAGAATTTATCCATATAGGGTAATTTCATAATAAATGTTGTATTTAGGGTGAAAAATGACAGTAAAAATAGTATTGGAAGATATATGACCGACACTCTTTTTTTTTTTTAAATTAATAGTATCGTCAAACTCATAACTGACACTACTACAAATATTAATGAACAGATTTTTATAATACTGATATACGGCTGCAAACTAAACACATGGAGGTTTTTTAGTGTGTCGGACGGTTCAGATTCGACTTTAGTGTCGATACTGCGTTGGACGACACCAATATCAGCATGTTTAGGATCGATACACATATAATTGGTCCATGTGATATTGTTGCAAGAGATCATTGTCGGTCGCCCCTCCCTCTCTCCCTTGGTGCTTTTACTCTGTTCATCTTCTTCATTTTGTAAGCGAAGAAGTTTAAAATTTGGCAAAAAGGCAAAACGAAAACGCATAAGAAGGTGAAAGTTTTATCATTTTTAAAAATTTGTAAGGTAAAAAGAAATAATTTTTTTGTATATTAAATATAAATATAAATATTTTTTGAAAAAAATATAATTTCTTTTATCTGTTTTTGTTGTAGAACCCATTTCAGGAAGATTGCAAGATTGAAAGGGGGCTTTCGGTGGTCGTGCATTCTAACGGTAAAGGTTAGTCCAAATTTAGATTATAATTTATTTTGTTGTAATTTTATGCATGTAAAAAATAGGAAAATACGAAAATAGATAAACATAAAAATAAAAAAATAGAAAAACATTTAAATTAAAATTTATAATATTTTTTTATGTAAAAAAATTGTATTTAAAAGTAAAAATAATGATGATATTATTATTGTTATACAAATATTATTATGTTAAAATAACAAAATAAATAAATTAGATAAATATATAAATATAAATTAATTGAGAAATATAAAATAATTAAGTTAGATAAATATATGAGGAAGAATTATATGTGATTATTATAAGGTTAATAAAATAAAAAAATAACAAAATAAAATTGAAATAATACGAATGAAATATGTTAATTAATAAATTTATATTATTAAAAAAACTGCAGTTGTTAAATTTGAAATAATATTTCAATAAATATTATGTCACATAATTAAAAAATAGTAAATAATTTAAATTTGTGAAAGATAAAAATACAGTTATTCATCACTTAATTATAAATTGGATTAATTTGAAAAATTTTAAAGTAAAAGAATAAGGAATTAAGTGAAAAAAAGATAAATATATAAAATTATAAGTTAAATAAAATTGAAAATATTATTTTAAAATATAAATTACTGAAAATAAAAAAAATTAGATAATTAGTAATTTAGACATTTGAATATTTTAAAAATTTTGTAGTTATTTATTTATATGATTTGCATTAATAACAATAAATTTATATGTTAATTTAAGTGAAAAAACAATTTAAATACATTAGTAAGAATTTAGAGGTTAAATTTTCTATAATGATATTTTGAAAATATAATTTTTGTTGTAAGCTATTATTGAAACTTATGCTGTAAATTTACTAATTGTAGGTAAATTTAGTAAAGAGTTTTTTTTGTTAATATAATAATTGATAAAGTCTATATTAAGGTACAAATTGTTTAATACTGAAATGAAATTGTTTTTATTAAATTTTGTTGCTTATATTGTAAATTTAAAGTTTATAGTTTACTTGTTTAAATAGATTTCAGATGGCATCATCTTCGTCTCGTAGTAAAGTGTTAAATCCTGACCCCGAGAATGGTTCATTACTGTGCTATCAATCTATTCATGTTTCAGAGCATATTTGGAATGGTCGTGAACACCCAATATTGAAAGTGAGGAGAGGTCATTTCATACATGCTGGCATAGAGGGAGTTCCAGTAGAGATTATTCCACATTTGACAGTAGCAGGATTTGTTAGAGTAGCACAGTTGACTAGTATTCCTATTGACCGCCAATTGATTACAGCTTTGGTAGAAAGATGGAGGTCAGAGACCTATACGTTTCACATGCCTCCTGGAGAGTATGCTATGACACTTCAAGATATTGCTATTCAGATGGGTCTTTGTATTGATGGAAGACCAGTTATTGCCCAGGAGGTGACCGAGCACAAATTGTTAAAGATTTGTTGCAAATTAGACCACCTAGTTCTGCATTTATGGAGAGCAGCTTGAAACTTACTTGGTTGGATGAGCATTTTTCCCATGTTAGGTTGCACAACCAAAATCTCATTCAGCTAACTCGCTTTACTAGAGCTTATATTTCGAGACTTATAAGTGGATTTATATTAGCTGATCATTCTAGTAACAGGGTCCCAATTAAGTACCTTCCTTTACTTGAGGATTTAGAAATAAATGGGCAATATAAGTGGGGAGCTACAGTGTTAGCATTCCTATACAGAGAGTTATGTATGTCCACAGATATTGATCAGTTTGGTATTGGAGGATTGACTCCACTTGTG